GTTGCCCACTGTCATCACACTTGTTGAGGCGGTGGCACTGGACGCCGGCTCCTGGGCTGGGCATAGCTTCCACTCCTCGTCCTCCGGGATCGGCTTGGTGGTCGACTCCTTCGGGATGAGGTCGGGATTCATGCCTTCGCCCTTGTTCTCCGGGTCTGATGGCGCCTTCTGCATCTTTTCCTTGGCAGGCGCTTTGGGAAAGATCGGGCCCACACGCTGGTCAGCGTGGTTTTCCTGGCCATGTATGCTGCATACGGCATATGTTTGTGGAAGGCTGCTTCGAAAGTGAGGGCTCGGTGCTTGCCCGATGGCAAGAGCTCCTGCCCCCATTCTCGCAGGGACCCCACATTGGGAGGTCGAACATAGCCCATCGTCAGGAAGTGCTGCAGGTTGATCTGGCTCTCGTCCAGTGTAGCATCTTCTTGTCCCGACAAGGGGTCGTCGAGGCCCGCTGCTTCCGTTGACCCCTCCAGAGTCTCCTGAAGCTTGCGGGCATCCTTGCGGCTCAGGCCCGGCATGTTGCTGAGATGCACGGGTGCGGCGAAGCTGGGCGGTCACTGATTGAGGCTGTTGATCTTCAGGCTGCGGGCAATCCGGCTGAGATGTAGGCTGCTGCTTGGAACATGTGGCTGTGACAGCGTGCTCGGAAACCGCTGCAAAGTGATGGTGATCGGTGGCTTGCAAGCACTCTGCTGGAGCATGGCACAACAGCTCAGACAAATCAACAACTGACAACCCTTTTGGATCCCTCCTAAGAGATACCCTTCTACCTGGAAGTTGGAGATACCCCAATCTTACATAGATAACCGCATCCAACTCATGCAACAAACGATTTGATATCAACAAAGGAGTGTTTCCGGGAATGACTTCAACTCGAATCCAGGTTGTACCCGAGTACGGCAGCAGGAGGGCATGTTTTGCTTTCAGAGTGCCATCATTGCCAAACTTGAAAGTGACATCCGAAGGTGCCTTGCGAATGCTGGCACGGCATTCTGCACTCAGCCCTTTCAAAATTTCTGGGATCCGCTGGCTTCCTACCACAGTGCGACTGGCTCCAGTGTCCAAAAC